TTTACAATTTTATCTTCTCACTCTTTCATCTTCTTTTACTCTTTTATATTTATTTATTAATAATATATTATTTGACCCCCAAAATCAATGGTCAAGATCCACTACTAAAGATAAATCTTCATGTCCTAAGTATTATCCACTTTGGAGCTCTCGTCCCTTGAAATTTTATCCTTAAAATGTATATCCATAGATTAAGAAAAGAAAATGTATATAAATTATCATTATCCTTCACTTCTAAGTGATATAAGACTCTTAAACTTTTCTTACCGAAACCATTAAAATTTCTTGAAATTGAATTATTCTTCCATTAGATGAATTAATCAAACTTAACATCAAAGCAACATTATACTAAATTATGGGTTGGTTATCCGTAACATGTGCATAGACACAAACGATTTTTTTTTCATATGCAGTTCAAAATATTAGAACACTATATATTATTTATTAAAATAAATTATTTTTTTTACAAATAAATGCCTATTTTTATTTGTTGTAGATACAAGCATTCTCTTAATAAAAAATTTACGGATAAAATAGGAAAGAAGGCATAGAAATTTTACTAAATACATTAATATTTCATAAGTCAATTTGATTTGTTTTTGAAGATTTAAATTACATTTATTTAATGATATGTGCAATATTGTGTAATTTTATCTACAAGAGTCAAATTCAATTCTACTTCACCCCAAATGATCAAGTGTAATTAATTATCATTAATTTCACTTTGTTGATACATTGATTGAGACAAATTACTAATAGAAATCAGAATAATATGGATGACTATATTCTAAAATTTTCCCACAAATTAAGCATAATAATAAATATATCACTTAATCAAATAATTCATATTTTCATCAATATATTACATTTATTTACTTTAAATATATATATATATATATATATATATATATTTTAATTTAGATTTTGTGATGTCAAATTTTGGTCCTAGAGATTTCTTAACAGACAAGTTTCTTTTGTAAAAAACAAATTTTTGTAAAAAGACCATATAAAACTTCATGCTTTAATTTCCTCTAATTAAATCCTTCGTTTTTTAAATAGATTCTTTAATCTTTATATTTTTAATTCTCATATATTTTTTTTCTTTTAAGTTTCAGTGAATATATTACTTTTAAATAAAATATAAGAGATAAATATAATTTTATATTAAAGTTTTATATTTTTTATTAGAAAATCATTTAACCCAAAAGTAAAAATTAAATGTAATTTGAATTCTGTGTTAATTTAATATAAAATTCAAATTACGTAAAATTAATATTTCACAATTTTCTTTGAATAAATTTTTGTAGTTTTACCTCTATAGAATTTTCAAACTTGTTTTTTTAGTGAACTTATTATTATTGTTTTTATGTTTTTTTTTGTCATGTATTATTTTAATACTTCAGTCTCATTAGTTCATCCAGATTTAAGAAGAAGGGTGTAAAATGGAACCAATTTTAAAATAAAATATAAAATTAATAAAAAATAAAAAATATCAAAATGATTTTTTAATTGGAAATTTTTAAAATTAATTTCATGTAATTTTGATTTGACAATGAAAATAAAAAATTTTAAAACTAATCAAAATTTATAATTTAAGATATATATTATTATAAATTAAATTAAATTAAATATAAAAATATTCAAACATATATATATATATATATATATATATATATATATATATATATATATATATATATATATATGTGTGTGTGTGATATTTCAATAAATTAACAATTTAACATATTTCTAAATTTTTAAATTAAAAATTCAAAAGAACAGGTTGATTGAGACAAAGAAAAAAATATCAATTTTTGTTCATTTTTTTAATCGATACATTTTAAAGGAATGAATATTATCTATTAAAAATAAAAAAAACATATAAAAAATGATTTTTATTTAAAAATTTAAAATATTGAAATTTTATTATATTAAAAATTTTAAAGAAAATTGTGTATTTTTTTTTTTAATTTGAAAGAAGTGTGTATGATATTTGATGGAAATTGAATATTTGAAATAGTAGAAGAAAAAAAGAAAGAGAAAGAAATTGTATATTGGGCCTACCAAGTTGAGGCCCAGAACCAAAAAATGACACTTGGCGCCGTCATTCCAGCTCCCCCATGATTTTCAGAGCTGTGTGCCTCCCACTCCGCCACGTGTCATTCTCCATAACCCTTGGATCGGTAAAACCACATCCCAGTCACTTTACCGTTAGATCAGTAAAACCCATCCAATCGCAGCCGTCCACTGTGATCCTGAACATTTTGTTTTTCAAACTGAGTATATAAACAGATTCTCACACACAAACAACAATATCCCGTTGACCCCTTTTGCTTCTCTGACTCATTTCTCTGTGCGCTAGAGAGAGAAAGTACGAGTTAGAGAGAGAAAGAGAGGGAAAGGAGAGAGACAAAATCGTAGGTGCGTTTTTTCTTTTTTCTTTTTCTGTGCGAAGTTGTTTGAATTATGGTTTTCCTTACTGAGGTTAAGCTCCTTTGTTTCGATTTTCTACGTGAATGTGAATTTTCTTCATTTTTTCCCTCATGTACTCTTGATTCTTCAGGTTTTGCTCTCTGGGGTGTTTTACCTCAATGAGTTTCTGTTTACTTCGTTTTTGTTTGGTCTATGAATTGTTTACAATGTCCAAGGGTATCGAAAGAGAGAAAATTAAGGTTTCTTTCTGTCTGGGTTCTGTTTGCAACGTCCAAGATTATCGAAAGAGTGAAAATTAAGGCTTCAAGCTTTCTGGGCTTTGTGATCGGCTTTTCTTCATGATAGTTGGTTTTAATGTCCAAGGATATCGAAAGAGTGAAAATTAAGGTTCCAAATCTTACTGGGGTGTTTCTTTTTAATTGTTTTCATTTTTCTTCTTGATACCTTTATGAATGTACCCAAAGTGCAAAAATTAAGTGAAAATTAAAGTTTTTATCTTTCTTGGTTGTTTTTATTTTTTGAATAGGTTTTTCTTCTCGGTAGCTGTTTGTAATGTCCAAGGTTACCGGAAGAGTGAAAATTAAGAATTTTTATTTTCATTTATTTTTAAAGTTTTTTTTTTAGAGTTGTGCTGAGAGATGAATCGAAAACGTTTAAATTGTTTGTCTTTTTTAAGGTGTCGAATTCATGTGAGTTTCGTTGTGTCTTTTTCAATTCCTGCGGCGTATATTAATAAAAAAACAAATAAAATCTAAGCTAAGCCCCAAACACGGTGTTACGTGTCACGTGACTTACCTTCACTCTCACCATTGTTGTTCTCCACACCTTTTGGGTATTTCATGGATTTTCTGTTACCTAACGAATTCTTTTGGGATGTTTTGTTTTATGTTTTACTATGGGTGCAGGTTTTCTGGTTTTCTTTTCCCACTGTTGCCATTTCTTATTCTTTATTCATTTTCCTAATGAATTTTCATTTAACGTTCTATTGAACGTTATTTTAATTTCTGGATAGCCAATTAATTCAAAATAATTTGAAATATTTTTTGATTTTGCTAATGTATAGTATATTCATTTATTTTCCAGAAATAGTGTTTTGACAGCTGTTAAGCTATGTTTTACAGTACTACTTCTAAAACCCCAGATTTTGATTTTTCAAATCTGCAGGTTAGCAACTTAAACGTAGTGTATGTTTAAAGTTTTTTGTGGTTATAATAAATAATTCAAATAAATAAAAATAATTTATATAAAAAAGATATAGATATATTATTTGTATATTATTTTAAATTTAACTGTTACTAGCAATTTCAGTGTCAGCTATGCTTTATCTGCTAGTCTTGTCAAAGTGATGCCTAGTGACGATGGTTTTTTGAATGAAATAATTTTTTTTTTTTTATGATTTTTTAGTTTTAAAAGTCATCTCTCGTTAATTATTATCTATTTATCTCCATTTAAAAAATATATTCAAAGTATTAATAGTAAAGACATTCCTATACTGTACTTGTTCTGGTACAGGTGATTTTGCTGTTGGTTTTCTGTAGGGATGATTTTACTTTAGTTTTTTTTTTCTCTTTTAATTTTGAGGTTTAAATTTCCCCTGGGAAACTAGCTTGTGGGTGTATAAACTTTTTCAGTACATGGGGTTGGGCAATTGGGGACATTTCTTCTTGCACCTCGTAAAGAAAAGGTGAATATTTATTCATTTGGGAAGTCAGGGCCTTTTTCCAGAATGAAAGGGGATGCCATAATTTTTATGGGGTGTAGGAAGTTGGGTAAATTTGTTTAGGTGAGGTCTTGGGAGGCCCTTAGGTGAAGGGTGAGGAGTGTGACATGAGAGAGCTGATTGGGATAAAGATCATCCATAGGAATTGAAGCAGTGATCTTGCTGCAGGGCTTCTGCTAACTGAGCTGCTAACAAGGAACTTGGGGTAGAGTGTGTGAACAACTTCTGGGTGTATGCCATTTTATTCTAGATTAAAGCTTTAAAACCTTGTTGTCATAAAGTAGATAAACCTATCAGTTTTTAATAATTTTACAACTTATTTGAGAGCATTTTGGAAACTTGGTTCTGTATATTGGTGTGAAGCATGAATGCTGAGGCAAATTAGTATGTTTGTCTATGATCAAATTAGATTTCATTTTATGCATATATGGTTTTGTATGACCTGCATTTTGATTTTTTTTTCTTTTCTCTTTAGATAAATGGAACTAAGAGCTTTCAATTGCTTGAATTGGCTTTAGGCTATGCTTGCGAAGTCCAGATTGTTTAAATGAAGTCAAAGACAACTGCAATCTCCAAAAAAGTGGGAAATTACCCTCACGTCTCTCTGACTTCAAGTAATATATATAAAGCACCATGGTCCATGGTCAGAGTAACTAATGAAAAAGAAAATATAGCTACCTCATGCCAAACATTTAAAAATGGTAAGCGTTGATACCTTAACATATTGAAAGGAATGAAAAGAATTAAATACAAGCTATTATGGCAAAGATTTTGTTTTTCCATGGAATCTTTTGGAATTTGCTTAGAGCATACTGAATAAGTAAAGCCTTTCATTATTTAATTGGACATGTTTGATGTAGATTTTTGCAAAAGTGAAGAATCTTTCCAAGATCATGTCAGCGAAGGAGACATGGGGCAGACCTCTCTTTCATTCAATAGATGTACAGATTCAATGGAGGAGACCTCTCTTCCATTGAATGGATGTACAGATTCAATGGGGCAGACCTCTTTTCCATTGAATGGATACACTGATTCAATGGGGGAGACCTCCCTTCCATTGAATGGATGGACAGACCCCATTACCTCTCTTTCTTTCACTGGATGTATAGATTCAATGGGGCAGAACTCTCTTTCATTCAATGGATGTACAGATTCAATGGGGCAGACCAATCTTTCATTCAATGGATGTACAGAGTCAATGGGGCATACCAATCTTTCATTGAATGGATGTACAGATTCAATAGTAGTAACCGTAAGACTCGGACTCAGTTTTAATATGCAAGTGGGGATATGTACATCTAGCTTTCTGCATTATACTACTATGCTTAGTAGCCTCAGATTCTGTGTACTGCATGCGTCTTTGTCTATGTTTGAGTGTTGCATCTGATTTCTACTTTTGCTCATTAGGGCATGTCGTCGATTATAATTCTTAATGTGTAAACTGTAAAAATTTATTGAACCTTCAGTGTTGTCTTGTAATATTAGTTTGGGAATAGCAGTTGGGATGACTACATTAAGTATTTTCTTATTTTATCCACTTCATCAATCATTTTTATGTGTTTGAAATCTAATGTGATTTTATGTGTATATCGATTTACTTTTTTATTGATTGGGAAACCAAAGAATTTTTCGTATGAATACTCTATTTGGTTGGCATTACTTACAATTATGGTTTGTTTATTGCAGGATTCTATGCTATCTTCTACATGCTCAGATTCAGAAACATTGTTGCCTTATTTTGATGGGCCTAATTATCCCCATAGTCAGCAATTTGAAACGGGTACCCAAATTGAAACTATACTAGTTAAAATATTTTTTCTTTCTTTTTGAGATAATAGAGATAACAACATGAAAATTCTCACCATAATCAGGACAAAACAAAGTTTTTAGCTCGCAGGCCAATAATGTCTTAGATTAATATTTGTTATTGTAGAATTCAAGACCTGTGAAGTTTGAAAATGCAGTGACCTATTGTTAATTCTAGTATGTCCTTTGTTGATACATAATATCATTTTATTCTTTTCAGTAATATGTATTTCTCTGTGTATATCATTGCAGTCAACAGGGAACAAATAACTTGGGCACCTCAGGAGGATAACAGTTTCTTCACCCTTTCACAAATGCCTGCCACGTTAGATTCCTATGCATATGAAGCATGTCAGATTGGGTTTCCCAGTGATGAACTGACTGTATTTGACAACAGTCAAAACCATCTTAACCTTCATGATCTTGCATTTCCTGGGACAAATTTTAAGGACGGTGGAGCTGAGGAAAATATGGTGTTTCCCACCCTGGAGGAGACACTAGGAGTTGCAGATTACAATTTTGGAGGATCCTATGAAGGGTTTCAACAACTTTATGATCCTTTGTGGTTTAATAACCTGTTGTGCCAGCAGGTCATTCCATTCACTGAAGAACTTCATGTCAACTCCAGTCAGCCTGATTCAGACAGAGTGGATCATATTGATCAAGAGACATTTGCTAAGAATTGTTTAGTGCTATCAGACGATGAAGCTGACATATTGCCTGCATTAGTAAACCAGGAAGTGAGCAAAAAGAAGAATGTTACCCTGGTTCTTGACTTGGATGGTAATTTTCTAAATGCACTTTCTTTTTGTCCTAAAGTGATTATAATCAGTATTTAATGATTCTATAAACAGTTACAAAATGCAGTCTGAACTCCAAAAGTAATGTAGTATTTTCAAATTTGAAGGATGAAAATATAACAATTTTGTTAGAGGACTAAAATCTTGTCTACTAATTAGTTCTCTTTATACAATTTTATGATTTGTGATTTGTTTGATGATGAACTTTGTTCCTAAATTATATATACTACTTTACAGAAACCTTGATCCACTCTTCCTTTGGGCAATGCGATGCTGACTTCACATTTCAAATTATCACTGATAGGGTGGCCACTGTGTATGTAAGAAAGAGACCCTTTCTCCAAGAATTTTTGGCGAAAGTTTCTGAGATGTTTGAAGTCATCATTTTTACAGCTAGTCAAAGCACATATGCTGCAAAATTGCTGGATGTTCTTGATCCTGATAATAAGCTCTTCATGCGACGCATGTACCGAGAATCGTGCACCTGGAATGATCGCCGCTGCGTCAAGGATCTGACAGTTCTTGGAATTGACCTGGCAAAAGTGTTCATAATTGACAACACTCCAGAGGTATTATTTCTTTGTTCTTCTGTTGCCAGGTTTATCTGTTCATCATTTCTTCCATGTATGCTAGTTGTTTGTTTGCAACAGTCTTAATATCATATTTAACATGCAATCTTTTCCTTTAATTCACATATTAATAAAAGAAAGCATGTCTGGAAGGATGTATCTATTGTGAACATTCCATTTATGATTTTGCTTGAAAAGCTCTCCTTTATTTGTTATATGTCCTCTTCAATGTTATGAAGCTCCACTAGATTTATCTTCCTCTTTGGAAAATACTTTATATGTGAACAAAATTTTGTGGTTTTAATCCATTTCATTCAATAACACAATGTATTGAAGAAAGTGTCAAAATTTTTTTGCTAGGAGTTTTTCTTTTCATGGTTTATGATACTGAAACCCTTGAATGTGTTTTGATGACAGGTATTTAGACTTCAAGTTAACAATGGGATTCCAATCAAAAGTTGGTACAATGACCCTACTGACTGTGCTCTGCTTGCCCTGCTCCCATTCTTGGAAAAACTTGTTGATGTGGATGATGTAAGGCCAATCATTGCACAAGAATTTGGGGCAAAGGAAGCAATAGATAGCACTAATATTAGGAATCTTGATCCCCTTACAAGTTACCCTGTCCAATTTTAATAGATAGAATGATACTAGTGAGGGTTTTGGGTTATTTAGATTTCCTTATTTTTAAACATTTTATTTCAATTTTGATTATTTTTTATACAGATGGCTATATGATTTTATTGTAGCCTAATAGTTATAGTCTAATACAAAGAAAAAAAAAATTGTAAATAACAATTTTGCCTTTTATTATAAGGTTTGTTAATGTTATGTATTACCTTGAGTATTGTTTAGCAATTGGATTATATGAATGGAATCCTTGTGTGTCTTAAGCACATGATCAAATATACATATATATCATGTCTTAAAGTTCAATATTTAAACATTAAGTGAATAGCTCAATTTGGTGTTTGAGTTGCTTATAATGTATAAAATTTACATATTGTAATAGTTAAGTTTGAAAATCAAACTTATAAAAATACTTTAATTTAAATGTCAAATATTGATTTTGAGAATTTGTTTTCATGAAATTTTCATTTTTCTTGAATCGTTCCTTAATTGTTTCTCATATTTTAAAATAAAAATGAAAATTTATTTTATAATAGTTAAATGTTAATAAAATAATAGTGAAATATAAAATTATAACCGGTGTTTGTAATGATCAAATAAGATATTTAAATTTGCAAGTTAAAAACATGTGACAAATTGGTTTATAGTAATTTATATGGAATAAATTATATTAAAAAATATGCACAAAAATTATGTTTAAAGTTTTGATGAAGTTAGTCATTATTTTTAATAATAAATAATATATTAATACTATAGTTAAATCATATAAAAGTAATTGATAATTTAATTTTTTTAAATTATATTATAATTTAATTAGAATATAGTAACCATCTAAACGATTGTTATTATTTCGTTTGGTAATGTATTTTTATATGATTGAAAAATTATCTATGTCAAATATTATTCTAAGATTATACAGATACATTTTTTTTTCATTACTTGACATTGTAAAATTTGATTATATTATATTTTAGTTTTTTTATTTAAAACTCGTTTTTATTATTTATTTTTAAATTTGAAGCAATTTGATCCTTTGAAATTGTTTTAATTTTAAAACATTATTTTTAATATTTTATAGACGTTAAAATGAGAAATTTTTATATATATATGACATATATTTGAATTAAGAAGTGATAATCAAGACAAAAATAATGAAAAAAAACTAACAATAAATAAATAATATCTAAGTTCATAGTTTTCAGTTTGTGGAGTTATTTTTCAAACAAAATTCATAATTTTTATAACTCTTTTTTTCTGATATCAGTTGAGTTGTACAATTTTATTTAAATGAATATAATAATGTAATTTTATAAAAAAAATATTATAATACTTGAATAATATTTGAATGTAACAATTTTTTGCTTTTAAATTTGACAAGTAGCCTAAATTAAAAATTCCCGCAAGACACGAAATCATATATATATATAGTTTATCTTCTTTTTTTCACTTTTTCTTTTTCTATCACTTTCTCTTTCAACCTAAATTCTCTCTCCTTCTCTCTCCTGTCTTTGTCTTGATTCCTATGCGAATGTTAATTGCAGAAACCCCAACGCTCCCTTCCTCACCCTTCGCCTAGATCGAGTCAGGTTCGTTTCGTGTTTCATTTTCATTCCTTTTTTCCAATTTTGTTTTTGCATTTTATCCATGTTCAGACACAATAAAATTTGTTTTCATAATTAACTTTCCCATCAATTACCCTTTGAATTTTATGATTGATTTGGGTTTGTTGCAAATTCCCCTTCATCTGAGAACCGTGGTTATAGGGTTTTCAATGATTTTGAGCTTGATTGGTGGATTTTTCATTGATCGGTGGGAGGATTTTGTGTTGTGGAGAAAGGGGATTGTTTCAATTTCGGTTCTTTCCTGTGGGTATTGAATTGGAAATGGAAGGGAAGTTGTTTTTCGATTTTGGGTATCGATAATTCCCTAAGAAAAATTCGAAATTCACATGTGCCTTGATTCTGCAATTCATTTAGTGTTTGTAATTACAATTTGAATATTACCTTTTCCTTTTGGTTGTGTAAATTCCCTAGCTGGGTAATGGTTTGTGGAATTACCTTCAATGGGTTGAGGGTTTTCTATTATGCTTCCTTTCTACTTGTTTTTTTAAATGCTCATTTGGTTCATTCTTTCTCTTTTAGGGTATCCTATTTTATCTGGAGACCTGACATGGTAAAGCCGTAACAGAATGATAGTATTGCTTTAAGCTGATTTATTGACTTTGCCCTCTGGTTCCATTGGATTTTGAACCATTTTTATGATGGGCAAAGGATGGTGATAATTAAAGTCAGATGAAAATTCAGATAATATTTGTGGGCAAAGAGGCTGAAGTTATTACTAATGGCTTTGAGGGTTATAGCAGTTTCGGCTGTTTCTACAGTATTAAGCTTTGTGGGTCTTCAGTTTTGCACAGACTTTTCTTTGGATAAAGTTAGATCAGATGGACTAATAGGCTGGAATTTAATTCACTTGGATAATGCCAGCCAAGACATTGAGTTGCCTTTGGGTTTGTACACCACCATAGGGTTACTGGTGAATTGCACGGTTAATTTATTTGTGCTTCTCAATCTTTGTATCAAGGTGAGTTTGTTGTATTGAATATTAGTTTCTTATATGAGTTGCCAATGTATGATGTTGATTTGTGATGGCCTGTATGTTCTTCCCAGGTTGAGATTGTGTACAATAATATCATTCAATATAACTGCATGCTTAACTTTGTATCAAGAGTTTTTCTTGCCTCGTTACGAAATAGGATAGAGGGAGAGTGAGATAAGTAGCTCTGAAGTAGAATGGCCTGGTGCTTTGGTGTAATTTGCTTGTGGCATTTTTCCTAATTTGTGCTAGTGAGTTAATACATGAATAAGATAGCCTAATCTAATATAGTTTTCTAAATTTTTAATGTTCAATTATGGCCAATCTTTTTACTGCAGGGGATTTGGGAACATACTTTCTTCATTAGAGAAGAGTAACAACAATGATTTACACATTGTTCAGTTTATGCTTCTTTTTCTTTCTTCTTTACTTTCTAAGCAATCTTGTAGGCTAGGTTGTCCATGGTAGTATAAATACTGCTAATATCTTATATCAGTTAATATACTTATTACTGTTTATGGGCCCTCTTATCACTTGCAGGCTGTGTTTTTCACAGAGTTATATGCTTCTGAAACTCGTAAACTGATTGAGCGTCTTGTTAATTATATCATTTACAAGGTTAGTGCTTTTCTGTTTCACTGGTTTTACAAAACATGTCATTGTGACTTTATTCTTATTATTTATCGACAATGCAAATTACTAAAGTATATGTTTTTTTTTTAAATCATTTTATTATTGAGTCTATTGTGCCTGATGTATAGATAGGATCTACTTTATTGACTTAGCATCTATTCATGTCTTCCATTCTTCTGTTTTGTTGGATACAGAATTTTTGTTGATGTTGTTGTTTGGTGTTTGGACATTGCTCCTAAGATGTGTCTTTAAGCAAGATTTGATTATCAAATTCACATGACCAATGCCAATGTTTCTTAGATATGTAAATTCTGGTGCTCTGGATAAACAAATTCATATTGTGACATATCTAACCATAAGTGGCAGGATAGCTGCTATGAATGTGTTTTCTTTTACTAGCCAGTTTGGTTTGCTAGGATGCTAAGGAAAACATTTTTATCATTATCATCATAATTCTTATTTGAATTTTCCACTTCATTTTTTATTTTACTTTTGAACATTGCGTAATGGAGAAGTTTATTGACATTAAGACATTATCAATAAAGTTTGTTTTGAATTTTACTTAAAGGAAAACATTGTGAGCAGCCAGTTAATATGTATGATGTCAACTTAGAAAAGTGAAAATGTAATTGAGGAACTGTGTGATGTTTATCAGTCAGAAACTGACACTACTTAATTGTTTTTTGTATTTAATTGTGGATGGACAGGGGACATTTCTACCACTAATTGTGCCACCAACAATTTATCAAGCAGGTCTTTGGTCAACTTGGTTGGCTGTGCTTTGTTCTCTGAAGGTAAATATCATACTAAATAAGATCAAATGTAATAATTCTTTTAGTAACTTGCTATGATATGCTCAACATATTGCATAGATGTTTCAAGCTCTAGCTAGAGATCGTTTGGAACGGCTGAATGCATCTCCTTCTGCTACACCCTGGACGTATCTTCGTGTATACTCAGCATTGTTATCTGTTTTCGCAGTTGATGTTATCTGGTACTAAATTCTCTATTTTTCTATAAGAATATTCTTGTTCATATTCTTGCTATTGCAATTACCATATATGATACTTGATATTCCTCTATTACCTACTTGGGCATAGCTTTTGTCCTGGACATAATGCTTCCATGGGATTCATATCCTGCCCTAAAGGTTGCCCATATGGAGCTCAGTTTGATAACTGAGACTCAGCTATCAGTATAGGCAAACAACACAGCTATTGTGCCATAATGGAGCATGGTGGCTGCTGGCAACTACAAGAAACATTTTTTGCATGCATATATAGCAACTTGAACTGGAGCGGAATTGTGGAAGCTAGTGCTGTGCAGCTATACCCCGTTCCATTTTTGAAACCAACCCTGATAGATGACTCACATTTCAGCCAAGCCCGCAAATTTTAATCCTTACCCATCCCTTTTCTGGCTAAGCTTCCTCTGTTCTCCATGATAGCTTCCTTTCCATCTTCCTGTCTTGTTTTTTACGTTTCCTTCTTTTGTTGTTGTTCTCTTATCTTTTATGTTGCTATCTGCCTTTTTAATTCTTGTTATGTCTCCATATCCTTTTTGTGTTCTGGTTTATCTATTTTGTAATACAAGTTCAAGCACAGACAGCATTTAATTTATATTTCCATTTTCTTAATTTGTTTCTATTTCAACCTAAAACACTTAGGCAACCTATTGTTTGGTAAAGACATGCTATTAACTGTTCGTTTTTGGGAACTGACTTTATTTTTCTTTTACAACTCTACACTTGCTTTTATTTGAAAAACATAGGAGTGATTATGGGCTGTGTCTTTATTAATGGCTTCTACCTAACAATGGGGTATGTGCAACATGCTTGTATTTTTGTTGTTGTTGTGGAGTGTGTTCTTCACATTATGTATTCCTAATTTTTCTTTTTCTTTTTATAAATTCCATTATCTTCCTTTCTTTATTTTAATTACCTTCATCCCTTAGCCTATAAAGACTTTTGATTATAAATTATGAACATACCTTTAATTTTTGATGAATTATAATTATTTATCTTGTATCTTATTTTCGGTATAGTGGCAATCCTTGTAGTGGTTATGGAGTTGTCTATTCTGTGCAGCTATCTGGGATTAATAATCAACTCCTAGTGGTTAAATCGGGCCTTCTATGCTTAACCTCATTTGATAAACTAGCTTCCATTGATACTTTACCCATTTGGCTTCTTTCTGAAAGCTATTATTTTTTGAGTTGTCTTCATTGATCCTAATTTTAACATTGCTTGTAACTGCGTCATGATAATCACCAGTTTTAGTATCTAATGTGTATTTGTGGGGAGCTAAGGGTGTAGAGTTTATGCTTTTCCTTTTTGAATTCATAATATAATCAATCCATGTTGAATTTGTTTATACTTAATTTCATGAAGGCTGAAACAATCTTTGTTATTATTGTAATTTGATTGTTTCAGAAAATGCTTCTGACGCTTAACTTTTTTATGCTCCTAGGATAAGGTTTTGTCTGACAATATATGGAACACACGGGTCCCCTATGTATCTGTTATTATTCTTTGAGCCTTTCAGTATTGCTTTTGAGACCCTACAGGTATTTAGAATGCTGAATACATTTTCATCACCTGTTTAGATTCCAGTGGGGAAGTGATGCCTTGTTTAATGTTTTGTGTGTGATATGAATTCTGTAGGCCATTTTAGTACATGGATTTCAGTTGCTTGACATATGGTTGCATCATTCAGCTTGCAATAGCAGTGATTTCCGAACACCTAAACTGCTTGACACATTAACTGCAGGTAGTTTGGATAAACGTCTGTTTCTTAAACATTTAATAACTCATTGATACGATATGGGGTATTAAGAACAACTTTTTTCTCTGGGTGTTCTCTGTAGTTTGGAGCTTTCCAATACTAACAAGTTGTTACCTTTTTGAAATATAAATCTTTTTGCTTGAAATAAAAGATCACTAATTTTCTTTGGTTGTCTGGATGAAATGAAAGTATGCAGCTTGGTTTCTCAAGACACAACTTTTCCCTGTATGTTTTGAGGAACTTAATTCTAGCTTCCTGATTAAGTGGCATGACTGCAGGTTCATTGTTAGAATGGAAGGGAGTTCTTATTCGGAACTTGGGGTTTTTCCTCGACATGGCAACATTTTTTATGGCACTTGGCCATTACTTGTATATATGGAGGCTTCATGGCATGGCTTTCCATCTTGTAGATGCCGTGCTATTTCTAAATATACGTGTAACTATTTCATTCTTAATTTTTTTGAATTTTACGATCTTCAGAAATTTAACTGAAATTTGCATATTAACTACTTGTAATCAATGGTGTTGTTTTAACCAGGCATTGCTTAGTGCAATCGTAAATCGCATTAAAGGCTTTATCAAGCTAAGATTAGCCCTGGGAACACTTCACGCAGCTCTCCCTGATGCAACAACTGAGGAGCTAAGGGCATATGATGATGAATGTGCTATTTGTAGAGTATGCTAGTTTTCTGTCCTCTTCCTTTCTGATTAATCTTGGTATTGGTTGGATGTACTTTTGAATAATCACATGAATGTGTTAATGACAGGAACCAATGGCTAAGGCTAAAAAACTAAACTGCAAACATCTCTTCCATCTTGCATGTTTGAGATCTTGGTATAGTTGTTTCTATGAAATATCTATCCTTTTTTCTTTGGGTTAATTTCCATTAGATACTATTGATTGATTTACTGATTTCAGGTTGGATCAAGGCCTGACTGAGATGTATACTTGTCCAACTTGTCGAAAGCCACTTTTTGCAGGTGTGCCTGAAAATGAAGCAAGTTCCGATGCTGGGACTATATCTAGTGATGAACAGCTTGCACGCCAAATTAGTGCTGGATTGGATCGGCCAAACCCTGCTAGACATACCATGCCTACCGGATTGTATCCAAATCAGGCACTAAACACTCCTGAAGGAGTTCATTGGAGGTTCAATCTTCATACTCAATCTTCTGTCTTTCTTTTGAATTTAACTATTATCTTTCTGTTAAAAATTTTAATTTGAAAAGTTATTAAGCACAAGTGAAGGTGATATAAAATCAGTGAAGCGTAACTGCCTAACAAAGGAAAAAACTAATAATAAAAGGAAAGAAATCAACTCAATAGAATCCCTGAATCACTCAGTTGAATTCAATCAAGAAGCACCTGCAATCCTTGTGGTAACCAGTAAAACTGTTCTTTCAATAAAAGGAGCATGAGTGGAATCTCTGCTGGAGACCTATGATCTATATTTGCTTCAACCATAAACACCACAACCCTGAAAAAGGAGGACACTGCAGCATGTCCTTGATAAGATGGACTCATCAATCTTTGTATTCCTTTTTTTCTGCCAAAACCTCTGACAAAAGGCATCAAAAGTGATTATAGAGGCTGGTAAGACTCAGGGCAAGAAAAAGAATTCCAAGGTGGCAATTCTGATGTTGCCTGGTCACCTCTCAAGGTGGAAAAAAATTGAGTGTGGTTAACTTTGAAAACACATGATATGGATATCAGGGGATGTAGCTTTTTTGGTCTACTAGTCTTTACAAGATTTTTGTAGAGTAGAGGTGGGAACAAGTTTCCATTCAGTGACTTTATCTTTTGAAAAAGATTTGGTAGAGAAATTTTTCGGCAGTTGGATTTCAAATCAAATACGATGAGAAGGACAAGCATCAGATTCTTAAGAATCTTATTTTAGCTCTACAGAAAGCTATTTTCTTACTGAAGTAACTTCATTCTTTTTGTATGAAGAAGCTGTATCCATCAATTGGACTCTAAAACAAAATATGATAAAGAATCAAAGTTAAAGGATACTGACTCTATACTAAATTATCTGAAGAACTGATGTAAGGAAATAGTACCTAACTTCCTCATATTTGATTTATTGCATGAAAGGAATGACTGATTATCCCTTTTCTCTTTACTTTTTATAGATAAACTTAGTAGTTATCTGCAGTCAAAATATATAGATATGTTATATTGCATGTATTGATGCATTCTTTTTTACTGATTTTACTTTTTCTTATCTAGGGGTGCAGGGCTGGACTCAGGTTGGTTGCATCCTTGGCCAAATCAAGGTGTTGACGGGGCTGGTCCTTCTACTGCTATCAGAACAGTGGGATTGGGAAGAGTTCAAATGATGATGAGGCATCTTGCATCTGTTGGAGAAACCTATGCTCAGACTGCCTTTGAAGATTCTTCTTGGAACCTTTGGCCCATTAATCCCTCTCAGGCTTCTGCAAGTGCTTCAACCATTCCTCATCCGGGTGGAAGACCACCAGTACGAACTGGTAGTTTACATTTAAGGACTGCTTCACAGCCTTCAAATGATAATGTCGTGAATATACTTGCTATGGCTGAGACTGTTCGGGAGGTTCTACCTCATATTCCAGATGACATGATATTCCAGGTGTGTTTTGGATTATTTGCAACATAATATGATATTCAAGGTTATTTCAATTTGTTTAGACTAATTTGGCTGAGCATTTAATATTAAGCATGCATGATGGTTGATGATCGATAAAAGCAGTTTAAAGCATAACTTTGTACTTTAAGATTCTGTTATAGTTACAACTTATATAGATGCCCCATCTGTTTAGGAGTGCACTTGTACTGGTAATTTAGTCTTGATTTCTTCACTGTATCTTGTTTATTTAATGTCACCAAAGTATATTATTTTTGAAAATGATAGATTTCACAAAGCAGTATATTATCGGTAATACACTATCATTTGCATTTTATGACTTGGTCAATACTTTTATAACAATGTATTCATGGGTTAATCAAACTCTGAATCTGATATCATGTTATAAAATGGTAGATAAAATTTGTGATAGGAAAAATTTAAGCAAAACTGGCTGTAGGTCTAACAAGTCTGCAACCTTTATGAAGGTGCCAAAACCATACCGAATGACCTCCTGCATTCCCTTCCTTTAATAATTTTCTGTATCTGAATTTACTCCTTCCTCTTCCTAGCATATTCGTTCAACCTCATCCTTCTAGCGTACCAGAGACATTAATCTACTGCCTTCTCTTTTTTTATCCTCATGCAGACTCTAGTAATAGGAGGCTATCTGTAATGTCACAAACCCATGAAATTTACTTATGGCTATAGCAAGGAACTAAAAAATTGTCTTGGTAATACCCTCAAACTTTCTTTGTGAAAGAATTATATCTTAAATTCTGTCAATGAAATAATGACACTAGATGGACACGTGATCGCTTTCTCTAGCATACATGTCATCATCAGATTTCATTTTCAACTTGTCAAGTCAAGAGTAAAGTAAGCTCTTCTTGTGGCTGAAGTAAAGAAACTGTTGAAAATTTTCATCATCTTGGATTACCACCATTGTTTGCTCTCTCAGCATCCTATAGTTGTTGATAGACTTAGATAAAGTGTTTCTGTCAGTGTTAGTTTTCTATTGTCAATCAATTAAAAATGTTTAATATGATTTTAAGGTTGTTATTCTCACAAAGTGGTTTAGGTCTAACTAAACCCTATAAAACCAATTTGTAAAATGAGGATTGTCTCCTCTTATATATTGTGTTTTGATGTCTTTAGTCAATGTGGGACTTGGGTTTTTCCCAAAACACCCCTCACGTCCAGCACTATTGGGCTTGATACATGTATAACACGGGGACTGACCTTTTTAATGGATGTCGGATATATTATATTTTGGATATATCTCTATTCAACTTGTCATCTTTAACACATTTCTTTATGTTGAGGAATAATATCTCTGGTGTGGGACTATAATAAATATCTCCGATAGGTACTTATAGGTATAGCGGGTGACAAAATAACAAATTTCAATAGGATATATTCTTACGTCATGTGAGAAAGTTGGTTAGGCAACTCAGCTTCACAGAATTCACTTGTAAGATGAGAATTGTCCTCACTTATATATTGTTTTGAAATGAGAATTGCCCTCACTTATATATTGTTTCGACACAGTCTCTAGTTGATGTGAGACTTGGGTTTTTAAAGGTAGTTATCATTAAAGTCAACAAATTTACATACAGGGAATGTAAAAAACCTACACAAATAGTGCATAATTAATTATTTATTCAAAGTTTCAAGGGTTTATTTTTTCAATTCTTATATTCGATGGGGGTGTACTTGGATGCTAATGTAAATTGTTTCTACAACGTCACTGCATGTATATATAATTTTCTCTCAATGTATTCAAAGTTTTAATGCTTTATTTTCCAAATGTTTATGGTTAAGTGATCTTACTTGTTATTTTGGGTCCTTTATTTGATTGTGTAGATTGGTTGCTTGATGTAACATGTATTTAAATATAAAGCATTTGATACTGCAGGACTTGCAAAGGACAAATTCAGTCATGGTTACTGTGAATAATCTTCTCCAAATGTGACTTATTAAGGTATTATTATACTCCTCAAGGAAATTATGAAGAATGAAGGACGCAGAGCTACTACATTTGATGTCCTTGCAAAAGGCATAGGCTTCATTTTGTGTATATAGAGTCAGCACATTCAATCTTCATAATTTCCTTGAGTACCTTAATAAGTCACATTTGGAGAAGATTATTCTATCCTTGCAAGTCTACGTCCAAATGCTTTTATTTAAATACATGTTACATCAAGCAACAATCTACACAAAATTTAAAAATGTAAGTAAGATCATAATATAACATTTGGGCAAAAGCATTAAAACTTGAATACATTGAGAAAAATTGTTTCTACAACTTCACTGCATGTATATATAATTTTCTCTCAATGTATTCAAAGTTTTAATGCTTTATTTTCCAAATGTTTATGGTTAAGTGATCTTACTTGTTATTTTGGGTCCTTTATTTGATTGTGTAGATTGGTTGCTTGATGTAACATGTATTTAAATATAAAGCATTTGATACTGCAGGACTTGCAAAGGACAAATTCAGTCATGGTTACTGTGAATAATCTTCTCCAAATGTGACTTATTAAGGTATTATTATACTCCTCAAGGAAATTATGAAGAATGAAGGACGCAGAGCTACTACATTTGATGTCCTTGCAAAAGGCATAGGCTTCATTTTGTGTATATAGAGTCAGCACATTCAATCTGTTGTATTGAAGAAAGATAGCAGAAAATATATAGGCATTCTCTTTCTCTCTCTTCTCCTTGAATCTGTAGTAAAAATAAATGTGGGGTATGTTCCAAATTTGGGCAAGTTCCTATCTGTCGTTGTTCCGTTTCAATTGTAATTTTGAATCTGCTGCTACCTCAAATTATCTTGTATTTTTCTTTTCACTCCCCCACTCCATTTTGTGGGGTTGGCAGAGACACGGTTATATATACATAAAATATACATATCAATTATCGTCAAGTGACTCAACGTGGGTCATGCAAAATATCTAATTCTAATCTCTTCTAAAATCTATATTCAATTGAGTGCTAGCACGACACTTTCTAAAAACACTTTAATCGTCAAGAGAAATTTGATTTATTTTGCCTTCTAAAATTATCTGCAATGAAAAGGATATTCGTATGATGTAGTTGCATATTGTCTAATTATAAATTGTAATAAAATAATTGATAAATTTAATTCTATTAAGGTCTTACTGTGTGAAGAACCATTAAATCTTAGGAAGGAATCATGAGATTAAAGTCTATGGTATGAAAAAATGTCCTAAGATATTATTTCCAATCAATATTTTTTGATAATTAAAAATGAAAATGAAAGTAAAGTTGTTAGTTAAATGTTGTTTTCACAAATATATATTAATTTTGTACCTGACTTATAAAAATATAATTCCTTTTTAATAGAATATCGGTGATCTTAGACTATAAATATCTTTTATCTTGAAGTCTTGTAAATATTTGAATACAATAAATTTTTTAATTTTTTTGGAAGGATGCACAATAAATTTGTTACTGTACTCTGGGACGGAATCAAGATGAAATCAATATAAAAAATATTAATAAAATTATAAAAAAAAACTATTAGAAAGAAACTTCAATTAATCTATAAATGATAAAAAACTACAAGATTGTGCTATGCATAGATGTTTCATAAACTTAAAATTATAATACAAGATTACAATCATGCTGTATCTTGTTAAAACGTAAAGAATCAACTAGTGAGCACTTGGCTTGAGTCCCAAAAATTCTTTCAACTAATTATGTCCCATAAACTAGAGTCAAGATTTGAATAAAACATCCAAGTTATTACAAGTTAAAAATGGCAACAACCCAAACAATCTTCCTCCACAACCAAAACAATTTCTAGTTTGCATTAGGAAAGATCATCCATGCATCAGGAAAGTTTGAAGCTAATTGCAATCCAATCCACATTCCTCCAGAATTGGCCCATCTGACTTGGGTAAAAATGGATCAATTTTCACCCACAAGACAGAAAAGAAAGTGGCAAGAAGGATTGCCCAAACAATAACAATGGTAGGAGTCCTGTTGTGCCTACCCACCATACCTTTGAGGAATGGATACAAATGAAGAATCACCCACAAAGAGAACACTAGTTTACCAAGTAGAGACCCCCATGCCTCAAAGCCATTGTTTATTGCATTTGAGACTCCAGCAACCACAGCAATTATGTTCAGTATCAGCAATGTTGTTGGTATGATAAGTAAAGTAGTCCAATTCAAAGAAAACATGTCAGAACTCTCTTTCTCATCATCTGCTTTTGATGTCACTATGAAGTTTGTATTTACACCTGCCAAGACCTTAAACATCCCCAAGAACACTGCAAGAAAATGTGCTGACACCCCTCCAATCACCCAAAATTGCTCATTTCTCCACAATTCATCAACTGTTACACCACTCCATTTCATCTCTAACACACTTGTGGTGAACATGCAAAAGAAAAGAGACACAAACCACATGCCAGCTGTATTGCTGAGCTGCAATGCCAACAAGAATATTGATAAGAAAATAAAAATGTAGAAACCAAGTCACCTTTCCCCATTTATTTCCCATCTCTTTTTCCCCTCAATTTAAAAATATCTCCTTCCCTGTTCCCCTAATTAAAAAGTGATACATGAGCCACAAAACTAAAAACCAGAGGAGTATTACTTTTAATCATGTGACACTTTTTAATGTGTTGTTCAAAGTTAGTCACTCATGATTTTTAGGGGATCAGGGTTCATGAATTTCTGGTAGAACCTGAAGAATATGTACAAGTTTCAGTTGTTTAGACTGAGTATTAGACTAATTCTTGAATCGTGTTTAGTCACACATAAAACTCTCTGTCTCTCTTCAAGGATGTAGTATGTGGGGATAGAATCAGATTACACATGTTCCTAGTTGTAGAGTTTATTGGATTACCACGAATAACCAACTTCTTAATATACTAAATAATCACATCTTTTCTTTGCAATCATATGAAATTAGATAATTGGATAGCTCTTTTGGCTAAATAAAAAGCTTCATACCTCAGGAATGATAAATTTCCCTGTGAGCAAGCAAACAGCAGGTAGGGTGCAATATACCACCAAAGGTATTGATGTCCATGGATATAATATGGAATTTATGTAAGAAATGCGTTGTAACCACTTTAGTCCTCCTCCATATCCATACCAAAGAGGGCAATGTTTACTCATGAATATTTCCATTGATCCAAGGGCCCATTGAAAGACTTGTTGCAAACCATTAGAAAGGTATCTTGGGGAAGATACTTTAAATCCAGGTCTTTGAGGAATACAATATATTGATCTCCATCCATGGCAATGCATTTTAAAACCTGTCAATATATCTTCTGTAACTGAACCATAGATCCACCCAACCTGGGAAATTTAAAGAATGGGTGTAAGTTACAACTTGAACAAGAAATCTTTGGCATGTTTGGACAGGCATTGCCTGAAGTCCTTGTGAGAGAGAAAATAAGAAAAACTAAAATTAACTTCTCCATAGCTATAATTAACTTCTCCATTAGTTAAAAATTAACTTATGTATAAGCTAATGTTTTGAAGTTCTCTCATAAATTCTCTAAACTTCATACATAAGCAAATTTTAGTTAATTTTTCTCTTAGAAGTACTTATAAAGACGCTGGTCCAATCAAACCCTTAGAAGGTCATAGTAATGAAGTGGTTTCGTACCTCTTTTCCCCATTCTGTTTTCTCTTCATAACCACAACTAATGACGTGGATTGCTTCTGTAAGTTTAGAAGCAAGGTTTCCATGTTGAAGTGTCTCTCCATCCACCAGTTGAGTAGATGCAATGAAAATAGGAGATTGTCCAAATTTCTTGGCAAGCTTTGGATTTGAAATATGCGCTGAAGTTTCATCTTCTATGCCTACATTCAAGGTTTTACTTGTTTATATTAGACAATGATAAATAAAATCATTTGGTTCCTACTTCATAAGCTTCTTCACTTAATCTTATATTTTCTTCCAAAGAACAATTGAAAAGTAAAGTGTTCCTATTCTGATTTGCTTCTTGGCATAACCATTATTATGATGATATGTGACAATGTTTAAGAGAGTTTTCCATTAATATAATATGCTGGCAAATACTAAATGTGCTATGTTTATCTTCAGTTCCATGTTCAATATATTTCAGAGCACCTTCAACTAAAGCTGCTTCAGAATGTACTTTACTATGACCGTTTTCCATTATCTCAAACTTTGGTTTCTTTAACTTCTTCTTCTTCTTTTTCTTCCCCATACAACAACACCACTTTGGCCAACAATTGCATGTCTTGGTTGGAGGCTTCTCTTTTCTTGGAGAATCAAAACCATAAAGTGCTTGCCTTCTAAAGACGCATCCTGTTCCAACATATGTAGGGCCTTGTATACCATCCAAGCCTTTCATGTTAATCTGAAAGAGAAGAGAGTTAGTATATTAGAAGTCCATTTAGAAGGGAAATTCAAAGAAATAATTCAGTTTTTCTTAGAGCATTCATACATCAAAGAATCCATTTGTTTGATTGGCATATTGCTTATCGCCATCAATACCATCAAATCTCTGTGAGAACTGAACATAGGAGACCCTTTTTCCTAATAATGGGTCCATCATGAAACACATTGCCTCTCTTATAACCTTGCTATTGTTGATGTAATGATCATAGTCCAAGTTCAACACAAACGGCGCATTGGAAAGCACTGCAGACACTCTAACCTGTTTCATGGAATCGTCAACATAGAAATATATCAGATTTGTATTCATGTCGTCAACTGAGATTTCATAAAATTGTGGAGATTTCTCAAGCTTCTTATCCCCTTCATTATTTTTTGTGTTGCTTACCAATGCATTCAATGCTCCTGCTTTTTTTTGGTCATTGAATTTTGGCCTCTTTTCTCTAGAAACATATACCAAGCGTGGTAATTCCTTGCCATCCATGTCATATCCCCCAGTTTCTCCAAGAAAAACCTGAGAAAGAATCGGCATTGACAATCACAAAGATAATTATGCAAAAAATGCAGAAGATATGTTATTTAATTTGAGATCAGTATATATTTTTTACTCTTAATTTATTACTAACCTGTATCATTCCTGGGTGATCACGAACATTATTTCCCGGCCATGGTGTTCCATCTTGCATTGTCCACCCTTCTTCTGGGACCTTCCTAGACTTCGCAACTAGAGAGTTAATCCGAACTCTAAACTCTTCATATTCTCTCTGTAATATTATGAAAATAACTTTTTATCATATACCATGAAGATTCATTAGATGAAGTATCCAAGTCATGTTAACATTTTTACCTTCATTGCTCTTCTCTCTTTCACAGATGATGGATGCACCTTGTCATTCAGATAGTTTATCTTCTCAGCAAAGTACCATTCAGGAGCTCTTGGCTCAATGCTAAACTTCTTACAAAAAGGAACCCATTTCTTTGCAAATTCACAAGTTTCAGATAAAACCTCAAATGTTAACATCGCTGCCCCATCATCAGATACATAACATGTCACCTTTTCAGCAGGGTAGTCCATGGATAGAATAGAAAGAACTGTGTTCGCAGCCACAAGAGGAGGCTCTTTTAGTGGATCCATTCTGATCACAAATATATCAATTGGAGAAAGTTGAGAAGGTTTCCCTTCCTTTTCATACCTGAATGAAGAAGTAAATTAAAATTTGTTAACTAACTTGCAAAATAAACATCACAAACATATTACGTATCAATGATTAATCATAGGTTAGGCTTGTTCCAAGTGGCATAGGCTTTAATATATGAATTTTATTTGTACTGAAAGAAAGCACAAGAAATACAACAGTATATATATATATATATATATATATATATATATATATATATATATATATATATATATATATATATATGGATAAAGTATTTTGCACATTACTTGCCTCAAGGAAAGCCTGTCCAGGTAAGTTTCCCTCATGACAGGAAGCCACTTTGGGAACTGGTCTAGAATCCATGAAAGAGTGAACCAAATCTCACAAATTATTGACACTAGCCACAAAGCATAGGCATGTTCCACAGGGTTCATAACTCGGTAATGGAAGAAGAAACCAAGAACAACTAGTCTGATCACTATGACCATACGGTAAGGGTTAATTTGGCTAGATGGAACGGACAACTTTCTTGATAATGGTTGTCTTCCTTCATCCATTCTGATCAACATAAGAAAACATATAATCTGATTATAAAGTAATCTCATAATATATCATTGTGAGTGTGAGGGCATGTCTGTATATCTTTGGTTGAAAGTTAAATAGATAGAACTTCCCAACTATGTATTGTGTCTATTATCTATTGAAGTTCAATCGCTTTAGTTCTTGAAAGTGATAAAATTTTATATGTCTTGGAAGTGCAACCTGTTAATAATTAAAATCTTCCGTGAGTGTAAGTGATAACAGTATCATGATTTCAAGAATAGTTAAATTCAAGGACTAAATGGTTAATAATAGAGACTTTGTTTTGGTGTTTCTTGCTTAAATACCACAATGTTTGAGGAATTGAAATAATGGTTTACTCTTACTTTATTGCTGAAGGAATTCTAGAAAAACACTTACATAAGGAATTCAGTGTCATCATCTACAAGGTTGTTTGGATCTTCCTTGTCGTTTTCTTTTCTCTCATTACCAAGTTCCACTTGTCTTTGCTTCCATATCTCCATTCTTTCCTTCCATGCAACACTACCATAGCCATAAGCAGCTAGGTCCTTGGAAGGATCCATGGATCTTGCTTGCAATGAAACCATCTCTATGCTCAATGTGGTTGAACTTGAAGGAACCAAAGCACGATGTTCTTCACAAGTTTCTTCGTCCTGTTCCTATAACCACGTTGCATGCATGCAAAAGATACATGAAAGTAAGAAACTAGAACAAGTAATCTCTGCTTATGTTTTTTGTTATGACAGATTTAAACTTATTTTCGTAAATGACTACTACAAAAAAATGTAATTTATTAAGAAACAAAGTAGCCAACTTCTAAGATATATTATAAGTATTATTTTTATCTAAGGAGAAGACATTTATTAAGCATTACCTGATGAGACATGGAGGTGTTGAAATGTTGTTTATTTGGTCCATCAAAATCGAACTCGTTGTCCAAGTCATCAACATCATCCTCTTCTTCATCCCCCTCAACTCTAGCACACCCTGCAAGGTACTCATGATGATGAATATAGAAATGCATGATGGTGATTAAGGGGAATAATCTCTCTCTCTCTCTCTCTCTCTCTCTCTCTCTCTCTCTCTCTCTCTATATATATATATATATATATATATATATATATATATATATATATATATATATATATATATATATATATATATATATATATATAGAAATAGATAGATAGATAGATACCTTTGAGACGCTTGAATCTTGTTTTGCATTGAGGACAGACCTGGTTTCCCTCCCTGCGTTCATACTCATAACAGCTTTTACAAACAGGAAAGGCACACTCGTTGCAGGCCACAAAGAGGTCACCTTCTGCATTAAGCCCTACATCATCTCCACATAGTTGGCATGTTTTGCCCTCTAACTCTTTCAACCTTCTTTGCTGCACCCACCAAATTATCTTTAATATTTTACATTCCATTATAATTAATGGATAATATTCTCATACTTATTATGGATGTGCTTCAACTGATTAATGCTCTTGTGAGCAACTACAATACTTTATCTTGTGATTAATTAATCTCTATTTATATATTATTATTTAATAACTAAAACTTTTGTGGATATATGTATCATGTTGTACAAGAAAAAAAATAAAATAAAAAACTTACCCCAAAATCTCCATCTTGACGTATGATAATGAATTCATTGCTGTTGTGAGAGCCTGCGACCAACCCGAAATTGGTTTCCATTTAGTGACGGATGATGCACACAGTATCTTAAATTTCTAATCACACACACCACCATATATATGTTCAAATTAATGGCTTGCCTTTCAACTCAAGGAAGACACAAAATCCACTTTACTTGATCAAGAGAGAAGCACCCTTTGTTATTCCCTTTCTCCCAAAACAAGTACAAAAGTTACAACTATTATTCTTTTCTTCTCTTTTCTTTCAACTTCATCACTCTCTTTTTCTCCGCCATCACCTTATCCTTTGTTTTTTTTTCATCTATAATTCCGCCTACAAAGCTTTTGCGTCACCATCTACCAAAAAGAAAAAGAAAATCAAAGAATCATCGTGTCATTTTCTATGCATCATGCTTCATTCATTACAACCACCCTAATCCATGGACAAAAACACCATTCAAGTGCTTGAATTGGGTAAAAAAACAATTCTTGGTCCATAAACTCAAATTGTACGTGATTAAAAATAATTATAAAGTTTACTTTCATGGTAAATTCGATGAAGGTATCTTTGTACTTGAAATTAAGAGGGGAAAGTGATCATGCATCGTATTGGGGGAAGAAAACAAAAAGAAAAGGGTTTCATTCAAAAGATCTAATTTAAAAGATTTTTATTTTTAAGAAAAAAAAGTAGAAACTATGGGTGTTGTTGATTTTGTTCACTTTAAAGGTGGAAAGTTTTGTAAAAATGAAATGTTTTTCTAATGATTAACTCTGCAATCATGTTGGAATTGAAGATTATTGCATTTGTTCCACAATTATTATAATTTTAATATTGTAAAAAAAAGACCGATATTCTCACCTTACAATATATTTTTACCTAATTTATTAACAAATTAATTTTCTTTTCTCTGCTTCAATCAAAGTAAAACACATATTCTTATAAAATTATTTTAAAGTCACATTTATTGATGTTTTCAAATTGTATAATTTACTCGAAGGTACTTGAAGTTTGCAAATTTGTAGCACTATTTTCAACCATTTAAACATAAGTAATTTTTAAAAATATATTTTCCAATATTCCTAACTCACATTAGTATGAAAAAATTAGTGATCTAAGGATAGCAATGTATTTTAAAAAAAAAAAAGATTAAAAAAGCAACGAGAAACGAGAATGATTCTCAGAATCGAATGGAATCAAACACTAAAGTACATAACTGATGTCAAATTACTAAAATCAATGCAAATTTGTCAAAAGTGGGTCAAATAAAAAAATCAGTTTAAAAATTAAATAATAATAATTTTAAATTTATCTTAAAAATAATAAAAAAACTATAAAAGATTTGTTTGATTTAATTTAATTTTAAAAATTTTAAAATTATCTATAAAAATAAATTAAAAATTTTATTTGATAATTTTAGTTAAAAATAATTTTTATAGTATACTAAAAAAGATGTTGTTATTATTATTAATAAAAATATATATTTTTTATCGAATTTGAAAGGTTGAAAGGTATATATTGGAAGTTAGTATAATAAAGTTGAGAGGATGATGCAGAGGAATGGCACACGTGACTCAGCTGACATGAGACCCAGCAGCCCCAAACCAAACCAACCAACCCCAACACTTCAATGCATTCATTTCATTTCACATTTTCTCGTTTCTGCATTGCCATACCAAACACCCAACCCATTTCTCTTCTTTGTCTCCACCAACCACCACCACCATCATGGCGGAGAATCCCACTGCATGTTGGGACTCCTGGGTCAGAGAGGCTCTCGCCACCCTTCACTCCCTCAAAGTCCTCCGATCTCTCAGACCCATTTGCCTCCGCGACAGCTCTCTTCAATTTGGCCTCCATGACGCTGCCTTTCAGGTGTTTGATGAAATGCAGTACTGGGACCGCTCCTCTGTTGAAGTAGAAATTTCGGAGAACACGTTTAGTAGATGGATGCATGACACCCCAAGCGCTGGTACGCTTCATATTTCGCCCACTTTTTTTTTTTAATTTTTTTAAAGCATATGATAAAAAAAAAGTTTTTTTAATTCCTCAACTTTTTGGGAAACTTGGTTTTTTAATACCATAAAGTTAAAAAAGGACCATATTCACATAGTTTTTAGAGTTTGCGAATTAATTCATGGATTTAAAAGCATAAAGACCAAAACCAAGCTTTTCTAAAGGTTCATGCACTAAAGACACATTTTCCCCTAAAACGTATTGTTCTACTTCTTTTAATGGTTTTACTCGTTCGTGAAGGTAAACTGAAGTTACACCCTCAATTTATTTCTTAAAATTGAGAAAGATAAATGTTTTAAGTTCCTGAGATTATTGAGCAGCCGTCGTTTTATCCAAAATTGCAACAACAAAGACTAAAACGACTGATCTTTCGTAATTTTTAAGGACTGAAATCTAGTTTTTGTAATTTTAGTTAATGTTTCGTTTGAACGTCACTTTTTATATTTTATTTTTTAATTTAAATATTTATAATTGATATGGTATATAAGATATAGCAATCATACGGGGAAAGTGATGTTTCGTAATTCTAAGTACTGAAATCATGTTTTTGTAATTTTAGAAGCTAAATTGGTGGGGACTCTTGATTTCTCTATGTCACATTATTTATATTTTTACTTTATAATTTAAACATTTATAGTTAAAATTAAACATACTATATAGTAATTTACGGGAAAACAAAAAAAGTAAAGATTGTATGCATTCACAGAATAAAGAGCTTTTATATTATCATTACACCTCAAAACATTCGTCTACTTTTATAATAATTATTTTTATAAGTTCTGTCAACTATGGTTCCTAATTGTTTGACCACTATATTTTACATAAAAAATGCATATAAATTGAACTCAAACAATATTTCTGCAATTAAAGGAACTTTAGATTCCACTATGCTCTGCTCTTCTGCATAAATGCAGTTTCATTGATTTTTTTTTAAGTATATTGAGCATAAGTGTTTTGTTCCAATTTCTGACAGTAATATTGAAATTCTTTTGGGTAGGTGATGAGATTGTTTGTAGTGCAGCTGGCGGGGATGACGAAGCAGGGGCATCTTATGAAAAGTTTAAGAAATTAATTTTGTTTTCTGGAAATGATTATCTAGGCCTGAGTTCCCATCCTACTATTGGAAAGGCTGTTGCAAAGGTGCGCCTGTGAATTTTGAATGAGTTTTAGCTGTCTTCCTTCTTATTTCTGAGTTAAAGTATACTAGTCTTTGTTTCTGCTGTTTTTTTAGCCTTAACTTGAGTTCATTGCCATAGTGTTCCTTGTTGTGAATCAGGCAGCCCTGGAACATGGAATGGGACCGAGGGGTTCTGCTCTTATTTGTGGTTATACCAATTATCATAGGCTACTTGAGTTGAGCCTGGCAGACTTGAAAAAGAAAGAGGTAACAATTGGCTTGCAAAAACTACTTAAACCGTTCTGGTTTTGTTTTTAGTTCTGCTTTGAATCCTAACTGAAGAACTATTAATTGATTGCTATGATCAAGTTTTGGTTTATGGGTTACATAATCTGGCCACTTATATTTTCCGACCTCTCAGACCCACCTCTTGTAATGAATTGAAGAAAGGACCCAAATAATGATAATAAGTTTGGATTATCTGAAATGCTGACTCAGTTTTGGTTTAAAATCCATGCTATAGGATTGCCTTCTTTGTCCCACAGGGTTTGCTGCCAATATGGCCGTGATGATAGCTATAGGAAGTATTGGTACTCTCTTAGCTGGGAATAGAATACCTTCAGAGGATGAAAAGATCGCTGTCTTTTCTGATGCATTAAATCATGCATCAATAATTGATGGCATTCGTCTTGCTGAGCGGCAAAAAAGTGTAAAGGTGTATATATATAGACATTGTGACATGTCCCACCTCAATAAGCTATTGTAGGTTTTACCTTTCCTGAAATTTGCATATTCACATCTTTTTTCACTTCTGGTAATTACTCAATGTGTTGACATTGTCATTGATGATTTTCACAGATCTAATTGCAGAATGAGGAAGAAAGTTGTGGTGACTGACAGGTTAGTCATTGTGCTTCTAGGAAAATATAAATTGTTCTAGGTTAAACATCCGCAGTGTTATATTTCATATATTTCCTCACACATAGCCTAAACAATATTTGCATGTTGTGGAATTGACTGAATAAATTTGTCCTTCTTAAGCTATCTTTGGGGTTAACAAATTTTTAAAAGTATATTTAATGAATAATTTGTTTATGGTTTTTATGCTTGAATTTTCTCCAAATTTGCTTTATATGTTTGTCGTTGGCAGCAATTAGTTGATAATGATTAATATTGATGATTTTTCTTGAAAAATATCTTTGATTAGGAGGGTACCTGTTAGACAAGCCAATGTTCCAGTTGTGGAGAAGGTTTGGCGAGTTTATTATAGGACAAAGTTTAAAATAGGAATTAAGCTTTCTTTGTGTAGTTTGAGTGACAATTACCGATGTTAGTCTTTTCTGTTATAGAATGTTTATAAATAGAGTTTCTGTTTGTTTTAGTGGGATGGTCTTGAAATATTAGTTTGGTGACTGGGTTTTCCAGTGTGAAAGGAGACAACTCCCTTGTCTAAGCTGTTTTGCTTCTTTTGGTTCAGTGGAAAATTCAAGAGTGAACCTTTTTCTGTAGTGAGAATCTTAACAGTACCTTAATTTTAACTGATTAGATTTTCATAAGAATTTGTTTAAGAAGTAGTTTGGGGTTGGTCCTTGATAATTCTCTGTGTAAAACTTTCAATATTGAGGGGTTAATTACTATATTCATCCCTCTCTGTCTTAGACACACACGGGGTCATATCACTATTCATTTTTACCTAAACGATATAATGAAGCTGTGTTCAAGTGCATTATTGGAAAATTCTAATGTCATTGTGATAAAATAATGTATATTTTCACATAATTGGTTATCTGGTAATCATTTCAATTTCTAGACCTGAGATTACTTGTGAATGTTGATTGAGATGCTATGCTATCTTATTTCTAATTGTTTATTTATATTTCTGATGACAATGAACTTTGGCTATACTATGCAAATAATTTTTCATGTGCATTATGGTTCATCCAATTTTTTGCAGCTTGTTTAGCATGGATGGAGACTATGCACCTATGGTTGAGCTAGCTGACCTTCGCAAGAAGCATGGCTTTTTGTTAGTCATTGATGATGTAAAACCTCTTGATATGTTTCAGCAAATGTCTTTTTCTTTATAAAGACTATTTATTATAAGCTATTATATTTTCATGGTTCTGAATTTGATCTTTGGATTAAGACATATAAGGGTACAATAATAATCATAATACAGTTATAGCATTACATTATTTGTTCTAGATAGCAATCACCCACTTGGCCATATATTGTTTCCTGATTGAATTTATGTGATACAAGTGGCTTCTCCTTGCTACAAACAAAGTCTTAACTATAAATTATCAAAATAAAAATCTGTGTATGTCCAGGCTCATGGAACATTTGTTTGTGGCGCAAATGGTGGCGGTGTTGCGGAGGAGTTCAACTGTGAGAAGGACGTTGACATATGCATTGGTACACTAAGTAAAGCTGCTGGCTGCCATGGAGGATTTATCGCATGCAGGTAACTATTTGAGTGCACTTGCTCCTGAAGTTAGTTTCTGCACCACTTAGGGACAAAACATATATTATGTTTCAACAATAGTTCACGAACGAATTTTGCTTTTTTTGTATTCTTATAGCAAAAGGTGGAAATTATTAATACAGTCAAGGGGTCGTTCATTTATATTTTCAACTTCTGCACCAGTTCCAGTTGCTGCTGCTGCTCATGGTAAAGTACAGTGTGATACATGAATTCATATACTCAGATTGCACTTTATGCTTTTATTATAATTTATATTTCTTTCTATTTACTACTTGCTCTCGTCCTTCATATTCATCAAGTTGATAAATGTTAGCAACACATTTTCTATCACAACTTTTTAATACACTCTTTATTTGTTCATTAAAAGTGTTTGAAACCTATAAAATCATGAGTGGATATTTATTAAATAAGGAATATTACTCACAACTTTGTGATTCTCAATTATTTTTTACTAATAATAAAAAATGTGTTTAAAAGTGTATAGAGCCTACAGTTGCTAGCCTTTATTTTGTCACGTTATACCCTTATATATGATACCATTCTTGTCTATCATTCTCACATCTAACATCATCGAATAATTTAGAGGAATAACGCTATTTACTGTTTTATTTATTTGAAAAAACAAAAAACTGTCATGTTATTGAGCCACTATTTGCTTGAATATTGCATTCACAACATTGTTCTGTTATAGATTTTTAAATTCTAACAGAGAATATTAAATTGGGACCACTTCAGATGGAGCAAATCAATACAGTTGTGCGTTTTTTTTCTTTGTTACACGAGTGATTTAGACGAGACTTAGTAATTTCAATCTGATGCTAAGGAAGAATTGCTTGATATACTTCTCATGGTTAAATTGATCTTCTACCATTATTTTGCTATTGCTCAGCTCTCCATGTCTTGTGGAAATTGTTTATTGTTAAAAGCATGGTGCAATTTTCCAGCTGCGGTTAAAGTGGCAAAACTTGAGACATGGCGTAGAGAGGCTATTTGGAACCGGGTGAAAGACTTCCATTTACTTACAGGGATCCCTGTTACAAGTCACATTATATCTTTAGTAGTAGGCAGTGAAGACAAAGCACTTCAAGCAAGCCGGTAGATTTTCCTCCATTAATTAACCGTTAAACTTTATATTTTTTTTGTGTACTTGTGACATCTTCAAAGAGAATTCTTACTTAAGAATAAAAATAATTTTTAATAATTATCCTGCGAATATGAGTACCTGAAAATTGAAAAAAAGTTATTGATATAATCTTTTTCCAATTTTAATCTACATTAAAATAATACTTTTTATTTACAAGTACTTTTTATAAGCAAACTACCTTCGAATATGTATTCATAATTCATTCTTCTATCACTCAACCTCCTCTTCCAGCATATTTAGGAAATATTAATTATGAGAAAATAATAGTTTTTCTTTTTTAAAAGCTGATAAAAATATTACTTAAGTTGATCATGAAGGCATTGTTAGTACTAAGCGTTTTCAGGCTTTCTGGAACAGGTACTTACTGCAATCTGGCTTCCACGTGACTGCAATCAGACCACCTACTGTGCCTCCTAATTCATGCAGGTTTGTATCTTTTTATATGATTATGAGTAAACCTCCAGATTTGTCATGCAGTTTGGGTCAGATGTTTAGTCCCGAAGATTTTAGAAATCTTCACTTAGCCCTATAACTTTACAAAAAGGTCCTTCATTCTGGTCATTTTCTTCACCTTAGAATGGCTGACATGACATTATTTCAAGGATTAATTTAGAGATTTACTATGGCTATGATATATTTACATTAATTACAATCTGAAGAACTGATTATATGTTTTTGCCATGTGTACTTCTGTTTTTTATTTTAGGCTGCGAGTGGCCCTAAGTGCAGTCCACACAAGGCAAGATCTGGAAAACCTCGCAACTGCACTCTCACGCTGCATTAATTTTCAAGACACGCGCATATATGGCTGCAATGGCTATGCAAGACTATAGCTAGCTCTTGATTCTTTCAGGATGAGTTGCATCTTCAATGTTTGTGACTATATCAGAAACAAGCACAGCCTTAGTGCCTCCGATAGCAGTTCAATTCAACTACATTTCATTGTTAGAGTAGTAGTTCATTTCTGATGTATCAGAATTACAAGCTATCTTTATCAAGATGAATATTTTGTTAAATAGTGCTGATATTTGGATGTATTTAGTTTTGATAGAAATTAATTTGCTTTCTTCAACTTGTATTAAAAAATAGCTATCAATGTTTAATTTGTGTTTGATTTTACAAAAAAAAAAATGGCTGCGAAAAGAAATGGTTGTTGCAACAGTGGCGTCCGTACACACTCCAGACAATTTAGTTGCGTTTTTAAGATGCCTTTCTCATAATGTATATTCCATATTTTTTAAAATAATTTATTAATTATTAATTTTTCTAGTCATGTCATAATTATAATAAAATTTATATTTTTCTTTAATATATATATATATATATATATATATATATATATATATTGTAAATCATTTTCCATATAGCTTATATACAAAAGGTATTATAAAATAGACATAATTTTAGTATTATTATTATTATTATACTTATAAAATGATTGTTTGTTCAAATTGGGCTTATCAATTGATTTACTTTTTTAACCTAGTTTTTATTAGTTGATCTTACATGTTTATACTAATGTATATTGAACTAAAATCATTCTAAAGATTTTTTATGCTCACAAACTATTCGTTGGTACTTGGAGGATCAGAAATTCTATTGTAACCAAGAACAAAAGAAGACTAGCATAATTTAGTGTCAGAAGGTTCCTAGTTATGCAAATTTAAAAGAGTTATTGAACAGTCTTATCTTTGCATATAAATAGAATGGTCAACATGACAAGACAACCTTATTTTGGTAACAAACTAGAACAGTGTACCAAAACTTTCTTCATTCAAAAGCAGCAGATGCAGGAGGTGGAGGATGAACAAGAAATAGATTAAGAAGTTGATCAATAGATGTGTAGCTATAATCAGGATATAGTTGTGAAGCTTCAAGGTCATCTTCTCCTAACTCAAAGTTCATGAGGTCTCCTCTAACAAATACACTGTGAAGAATGGAAACTGGAATATTGTCTGGATTAGGTAAGGCTGCAACAATACCAATCATGAAAAGATAAGATATGCATGCAATAAAACCTAACCATCATCTTCATGTAAAGGAAAACAAGTTAATAATAAAATGTCTTACTTTCTGATAGATTCACAATCTCTTCTTCAGTAACAAAATCCTTGAGAAGATTCTGGCCACATTTTTTCTCCCACAATGATATCAAATCATTCTGTGATATGATATTCTTAGGGGGTCGATAAATAACAACACGGTTGCATGTTCTTGGATCATTTGCTACTTTGATGGAGTACATGGCGATATCTTCTTCATAATTTAGCACAGCTGAAGAATATATATTTTTTGCATGAGATTTTTAAAACATGACTTCATTCCCAAGGTAACGTGTCATGCAGATGAGTTGAATACTGTGAAATAATAAATAAAATGTACCTTTGGCATGACCATTGCCATAGACCCTAGTATGGGTGGTTTTTTCATAAGGACGAACCAAATAGTTAACAAAGTATGCACCAAAACAATTGGCAGAGATGAAGGTATAAGGGATCCTAGCTGCTTCAATTTCCCTTCTAATTTTTCTTTTCTTGTCAAGAAATGCCTGGAATGGAGGAAGAGGGTTTACTCTATCTTCTTCCACCCCAAAATCTGATGGAAGGAATCTCTGCAACACCAATTCATTTAAAAAAGATATCCAACGTTATGGAACTGTTAATTAACTATACAAAAAATATAATATTATATTTAACTCAATCTTAAAATAATAAATTTATAAATCATTTTGATCTGTATACTGTTCAATTTTTTCTATTTCTACACTAAACTATAATCAATTCTATACCTTTATGTTCCCAGCAACTTTGATAGCATCTATGATTTTGAGTTGCTCCATGAGTTGAGGGTATGGAAGAGCACAGATCACAATGTCTACTTGTTTAACCACTGCCAGAATCTGGTCATATTCAAGTTCACCCTGCACCACCACTTCATACTCATTAGGAAAATGAAGAAACTGCATAATCTATTATGAAGAGAAACAGTGAACAAACTGCATACACAGAACCTGAACAAGAGTGACTCCCATGGAGTTGAAGTCCCTGCAAAGTTGTGTCTTGGAGGAGGCAGTGTGTGAATTGAGAGGACGAGTGTAGACCAGAGTTGGATGACCCAAAGACACACTTGCCTTCACCAAATACTTGCCTATGTAGCCAGTTCCTCCAAATACTAAAATCCTACTCTTCATTCCCTCCATTTGTAAACAACTGCTGCAAATGCTTACTGCGTGGATCTACCGTCGTGCACCCTCATTTATAACCTCTACTCAATATTGAATGGCTGCCAAAACCAACCACACATTTCAGCACATGGATATTTTCAGTGGAGGAACTTCCCCAATAATTTTTTTTTTTGCGAAATAATATATTATTAATAAATAATAAATAAATATATAAAAAATAAAAAATTAAATGATAAAATTATAAATATATATTTAAATATATTAAATAATAAAGAAAAAATTATAAATTATATAAAAATTATTCAAAAAAAATCACAAATATATAAATAAATATATTAAATATTTATTAAATTTAAAATACAGTTAAAGGTCGACTTCCCCAACTCCCAAAAAAATCCGCCTGTCCGTGTCGCGCAGTCACGAAATTTGAACTTTGAACAAAAATTCAACACCCGCAACCTATTTGGACAGCGTGTCACGAATTCAACTATAAATTTTACAGAAAAAAGAAAAGAAAAGAAAGTTACATAATACATTGATTTGAATTCAAATTCTAAGAATAAACTTTCATTCATTTTTTTACTTAACAGTTAAAGTTTTTGTTTTTTAAGTAATTGAGTTAATAAACAAATATTTTAAAAAATACTTTATCTGTGTTATATCACCAGATTGGACCAAGTTGATAAAGAAAAAAATTCTTTTATTAATTTTTGTTGATTTTGATAAATATAAGATTAATAAAAAACAAGTTTCTTTTATCTAATTAGTATTTTTAATTAATAATAAATATCAAATTTTTTTATGTAAAATTAAAGTATAAAATAATTCAATAAATATTTTTCCTCAATGAATAAAGATTTAAACTCAATTAACAAGATAAAAAATTTATATGCTTTAAAAAAATAGTCCAAAAACTTTTACTTTATTATAGTTTTAAAGTTTTTAATTATTACTATAATATTTTTATATAAAAAATTCTTCTTATTATATTTCAATTAATTTAATCAATATTGTTTTTGAGTAATAAGTTTTAATTAATTATATATAAGAAATTAAAATTTAATTAATAATTTTGTTAAACTTTTGATGTAAAATTTAAAATTTTAATAAATAATAGATAAGTTATTATTATTTTATTAATTTTACATCTTATCATAGATACTTATTATTTTCTTGTATATTATAAAATTAAGTTTTAATTATTTTTAAATAAATATTTAAAAAAATAGTTTATTTTTCTATTTTTTTTATCTATATTATATGTAAAAAATTAGTATATTATAAATATAATAAGTATAATAAATATATAATATTTATGTCAATTAATACGTATTAATAATTTTGCTTATTTAAATTTTATAATAAACTTATGAGTCCCAATTACAGTGATAATAAAATTAATATATAATGAGATAAGAAATCATCATTCTTATTAAATCTTGTAACTTATAAAAAATTGTTTCTCCAATCTAATAATCATTACATATATGTAACATACCATTGAATGTGTAATACGACTAATACATAATTTATATATATATATATATATATATATATATATATATATATATATATGATTAGAGTTTAATTTTTTATTTGTATACATAAAAGATATTTATTAGGTATTAATAGATATATGATTAGTTATTGTTTTTGAATAAAAGTCTCCTATAAAAGTAGATGCTGAAGCGGTGGCAGCTTTTTGAGAAAGTGTGGCAAAAAATTGATGAGAAGGTTGTTGGGAAAGCTTTGGTTTCTACAATTTTATTTTTTAATATTCTTAAATTTATTTTTTTTATATATTTTAACATCAAAATAAAATATAATGAAATTTTAAAATAATTAACTAATTTATAATAAATAATTATATTTATATTAATATTTCATATTTTTTATATTATAAAACACATGTTAATTCTTATAAAAAAATTGTTTACTGATTTTTACTTCAACAAAAATTATTGTTAGATGTATTTTTTATTTTTTTATTTTTGTCTTTATGTTATAGAGATAAAATAAAAAATAAAAAAAATTATAATTTGTATGTTGAAAGATGAAATCAGACTAATAATATAAGAGTGAATGAGTGATAAAAATGAAATATAGAAATATGTTAGATAGAATGTGCATCCATAGAAAAAAAAATTGTAGGGAAAGAACGAAGGATGAGAAAAAAAAAGATAAAAATTTGAAAAATAGAAGGAATAAAGAAAAAAAATGTAAGTAAAATTTGTTGTAAAAAAATAAATATGATATTTATTATAAATAAAAAAGTAAGAGAAAAAAAGATAAAAAAATAAATTTTATTTATATTTATAAAATAATTTTATTTTTATTTTTTAAATTAATATATATATATATTAATTTAAAAAATAAAAATAAAATTATTTATAAATATAAATAAAATTTAATTTTTTATTTTCTTTCTCTTAATATATATATATATATATATATATATATATATATATATATATATATATATATATATATATATATATATATATATATATATATATATATACTGCATCATCTAAATAACATACTAGTTAGACAAGAAATTAACTAAAAGGAAAAAAAACATAATGGCTAACGTTATTAAAAAATTAAATACATAAAAATATATGTTAAGAGTGTATATTAATCACTCCCAACTTGGACCAGGAAATAGTTGAGGATTTACAGGTTTGGTGAAAATGTCAATTAGTCGAGCAATAATATGAATGGGTAGAAGATGAAATAATTTGACTTGGAGTTTCTCTTGAACAACGTGACAATCAATTTTAATATATTTTGTTTGTTCATGAAAGTTGGAGTTCGTTACAATGTGATGAAGAGACATATTATCGCAATATAACATGATAGGTGTAATAAGTGGAGCATGAAGATCATGAAGCAAAAAAGCTCACAAATTATGACAGTCAAAGTATAATATTCTACTTTAGAAAAAGACCTAGCAATTGTTGTCTACTTCTTGAATTTTCAAGATATAAGAGAATCTCCAAAAAATATACAGAAGCCAGTGATGGACTTGCGGATGACAAAGCAACTAGCCCAATCTGAGTCGCTAGAGGCTTTCAATTGAATAACAAAAGAGTGGAAAAAGAAAAGACCCTAACCTAGGAACCCTTTATATAGGAAAAGATTCTTATAACTACTTGTTGATGGGATTAAGTTGGAGCATGCATAAATTGGGATAGTTTTTTGAATAGTGAAAGTAATATCTGATCTGCTTATTGTTAATTAGAGTAGACAACCAATAAGCCTATGATAATTGGCTAGATCAGTAAGTAAAGGACTGTTGTTATAATGTAACTTCAAAGTCTTGACCATAAGACTGTTGATAGATATTTATTGTTTCTATTATATTTAATTAGCAGTTCTTTTGTAATAAATGACAATTGATTGATAAGGTCTTTAGGGAGGAATAACTAAATTTTAGCTACTTAGTTGTTAGCAGTTTTGACACCCACGTATATGTATAGTATATGTATAGGGAGTTTAGTTTTTTGTTCTGACCATTAGCTTTGCTCGGTTATAATAATGTATTATGCTATATAATGAATAACATATTACAAGTGAACATTTTTTCACAGAAAAACCTACTTGATTTTTTGCACAATTTGGTATCAGAGCTCTTTTACAGGGCCTAAACCAGAAAAACTCATTCGAGGATTGGGTGAGCGTGAGAGAGCATCTGCCACGAGGGGTATACACTAGGGTGTGAGAGAGAGAAACACCTATAGAGTGCAAATGTGAGTATTGATAATTATTCTATAGTCATGACAGATACTAGCAAGTATGTGTAGTCGACAATTCTCAAATTTGATGGACAATATGATCATTTGACGAAATTGATAGAAAACTTTCTCCAATCAAAGGAGTTTTGGCACTTGGTGGAGCATGACATTATAGGCGTTTCCAATAAAGCCAATGAATCAGAAGAAGAAATCAAACTAATGGAGGAGAAAAAGTTAAAGGATCTTAAAATAAAGAATCATCTCTATCATACTATTGATAAAGAAATTTCGGATACTATCATAAATGATGATACGTCCAAAAACATTTAGGACTCAATGAAGTATAAATTTTAGAGATCAACTTGGGTTAAATGTGCCCAACTGCAAGCATTGCACAAACACTTTGAATTGTTGCAAATGAAGAAGGGAGAATCCGTGAATTCATATTTCACTCAGACTTTGAAGATAACTAAAAGTATGAAGGCTTGTGGTGAAAATATGTAAGAAAATGTCATAACGACAAAGATTTTATGGTCCATGATAACAAAATTAAAATATGTAGTATGCTTAATTGAAGAATCCAACAACATGGAAGTCATGACCATAGATGAACTACAGAGTAGTTTACTGGTTCATGAACAAAGGATGTTGCTGGCTGTAGAGGAAGAACAAATTTTACAAATTGTGACAGATGAAAAATATGGGAGAGGAAGAGGACGAGGAAGGAGTAGAGGATCCTTTCGAGACAAAGGTAAAGGAAGACAATCATTCAACAAAGTTGAAGTTGAATGCTATTAATGTCACAAGCTTGAGCATTTTTAATATGAGTGTCTCATGTGGGAGAAGAATGAAAATTTATGTTGAAGTTGAGGGTAAGGTGGAACAAGAGGATGAGCTCTTGTCAATGGCTTTCATAAATTTTAAAGAAGAAAAACATAGTAATTTTTAGATTATAGGTGCATCAACCACATGAGAATCTGGATTGGGGCGATAATGAAACACATAAGCATGATGTTGAGGAATTTGAGCAGAATGATGCAGGAAATTTGGAACAGCAAGTTGTAGAGATACTATAGTTCTAGGGAGGGCTGAAAGGTATAGTAGAGAATCGATTTGGATAGCTGATTATGAGAGGAGAAATGACTTATCAGATAATGAAGATAATGCAATGATTGTGACAGAAGATGATCCTGTGACTTATGAAGAAGTTGTCAAGAGCCAGACATGGAGAGATGCAATGAAAAAGGAGATGGAGGCCATAGAGAAGAACAAATTTTG